GAATGGTGTCCTACTCTCTGTTTGTCACGGACTAGAAATGGGTGATAAGAGAAGGATCACCCAATAGTCACCTGTTCTGTTCACTGCCTCTGGGGCATCTGGCATTGGCCATTGTCAGAAGACAGGATACTGGGCTAGATGGACCTTTCGTCTGATCCAGTATGGCCATTCTTATGTTGCTTAGATCGACTTAATGCAACGTCTGCACTCTGCTGGGTTGATGGGAGAAACTCTCTCATCAACTTATCTTACGATTCTCATCCAGGTGGAGTACTAGAGTTGAGGGAACACAAATCTGCAGTCGGTCTTCACTAGACCCTCTAAATCAGGCATGTCCAAAGTCCGGCCCGCAGGCCAATTGCGGCCCGTGTTCCGGTTTAATACGGCCCCACAGGTAATTTGGCAATATCTATCTTTTATGGCCCCCAACGAATCCATATGTATTGAGATGAATACATTGTAAAATCTCAGTTAATGTCAGTTAGTCTAAATCAGTTATAAATATATTTGGATACAACATGTATACTTGGTGTTATGTTCCTGTTCATATTTTTTGAACTTAAAAGTTGACAGACAACCTTTATTACCAATAATATGTAATGTACTTTACAATGTTCCTGACATATATTTCAGCTTCCTGGATTTTTTTTTTCATCTGGCCTTCAGATATGAAAGGCAGAGTGATTTAACACCTGTTTAGATTCGTCAGCCATGTGACGAAATGAAAAGTATGCCGTTTGCAATAAACTTTGCATAAAATAGTTAATTTGCATTTAATTTTAATGGTTCAAAGAATGTCAGGCAAAATGGTCGGCCCTCATGCATGTTCACTTCATCAAATCTGGCCCTCTTTGAAAAAAGTTTGGACACCCCTGCTCTAAATCAACCTCCATGGATCTATTGCCACAGCATTGATCTCCCAACTGTGGAGATAAGTCACTGTACAGTCATTTACACTAGTGCAAAGTTGATGTTGATTGACATCATTGGGTAGCGTTCTGCACCCCCATGGCACAGGTGTAAATGACTGCACAATGGGCAGAGCAATAAAGAATCAGACCCAGAAAGCTGAAGTCTGCCCTGGACAGGGGAGAGGGCTGTTGACTCTCAGAAAATTGCTTAAAGGTTTGCAGTCAAAACATTTGTGGTGCTAGCAGAGGGGGAATCTCAAATCTCTTTTTATATTTCTATTTTTGAAACCTTGCACATTTCTCTTTCCGTAAATATTGTGTACCAGAAAGTACCAGACTAGAGATGAATATCTTTTAAATGAAAAATATTGTCTCGATTTGCCAAAGGATGAAGGCTTTTTCCTTGTATGTGACCTTAAAACCCTGTTCTAGTTTTGTTGATCAGCCAGGAACCTCATTTTGTTGCATAATCAGACTTTTTTCCCTACTGAACCTTCCCAATGATTAATTTAATACTTGTATTGCTGTACTAGCACCCAGTAATCCCTCTCATGATCTCACTCTTAGGTATCATACAAACACATAGGAATACACTCTCACCACCTCAAAGAGCTTGATCTTGCAAGGTAGACATCATGCACCACAACATGGCAATGGGGACATGCTCATTCATGTAGATTAGCCTACAAGGTACAGAGTAAATTTGAGACAAGGCACAACAGGCCTGGGTGTAACAAGGAGAGGTGGGGAGATGCAGGAAGGGAGTGGATATGAATAGTAAGACCACATCTGAACACAGACTAATAGTGTGTACAACTGGATGGATTTCATATTCATGCTTCATTTAAAAACCTCTGCCTATCCCCACTTTTCATTTTAAATTGTGCCTCTCATTTTAAGCCTCTATATCTAGATTTCTGGTTTTTTCTTTTAAAAACAATAGCTAGTTTTGTTTTTTAACTGCTGCCGCTCAGATGTTCCAAGTTATTTTTATCCTATGAGTACTTGGAGACTCAAGTGACTTTACAGACACAAGAAGGCTCACTCACCTTGATGGAATCACTCACATGTATGTAAAGTTAATCTTGTGCTTAAATCTTGTAGGATTGAGGCCTAAACTCCCAGCTGAACTAACCACTTACATGTGACACTACAATGCACACAGTCTCTCACTGTCCCTCTCACACTTCCTCATCCAAGATGCAGTGCAAAGGTTAGCAAAGAGTCTACATAATGCAGTAGCGATGGTTGCTACCTATTTAGCGATGGTGAGGCAGTGGAACAGAGGTAGCTGGAGATAGGTGAAAGGAGTCAGAGAGGACAATCTGTTCCTTTCCCTCCCCCATTCTTCCATCTTTTCTGTTTGTTCCTTCCCCCCCCATCCTTCCGTCTCCCTATAATTACCCCAATATTTCACCAGAAAATTTTTGCACCAACTTTCACCCATTTTTAAATGTTTGTAATAAACACAGATAAAGTCCCTGAGAAATTTTTAACAAAATAAAAACAAAACATTAGACCTTTCCTATAAACACCATCCTTACAGAGGGACCTTTCCTTGTATCACAGGAAACAGGATTTTTTTTCAATTATCTCCTCATTTAATTATTCAGTCATTAACTAAACTGGATCCTTGGCACTATTGAGACCTTCTTATTAGGAGACTGATTCATATAAAAATCTACAGAATTTAATAATGAGACCATCACACCTAAAATTGGAGGACTACTGTCTTCTGACTACAGGCAAAGTCAGATAATGATAAATCTATGTTGTCTTGGCACTACAACTGAGTGAGCCAGAAGTTTGAGATGGAAAAAATAAATATTTCCCCATTCCAGTCATCTTCTCACCAGTCTTCTCACCAGTGCAGGCTTGAAAGGAAGTTCAAACTTGCAGCAACATCAATTCAAAGAAATCAACCAGCAACACCATTTTCCATGAGTGGGGCTGAAGACTTTAGGATAGGAGGCTGTATGCTTGTGTAACATCCCATTCTCCTGTATTGCAGTCACCTTTTCCTCTTGGCTTTCCTTCTTTATAGCTGTGCTTTAGTAAAATTCCAACTGCATCTGCTTGCTATTACTTGTCCATAAATATCCAAACTTCCAGCTTCTTTGGCACACATACATAAATATATCCTTACCGTGCTAGTCTCCACACACCAGTTTACAACAATCAGACAGGTTGGTGACAGTAATCACATTTTAAAACTTTTGGTCCTTCACTTGCTGATAGCATCCAGAGTTCAATATTCGTATCTTTACACAGCCATATAGCTCATCAGTGCTTACATTAAACGAAGAGGCCAGTCCCAGGTGCTAGTCAATAGACTCTGGTTTCAGGGTCTGACTTAGCCAAGGTCACATCTGTTCTCTTACTAATTAGTGGACAGACACCTGACCAGGTTGTGAACTCTACTCACACCCCATAAATCTGCAGCTTTTGCAATTAACAAGACAATTCCTGAATTTGACTAGGAAATCCCAAAAATTGAAAAGAAAAAAAAAACCAGTCAGTGCTCTCAAACATTCAGTGCCTTCAACAATGAGGAAGGAAGAGACAAATGATCCGCTGGTCAGTGGGAGATCATTACAGAAGAGCTGAAGGATAACCTTTACCTCTAACTAGACTGAATGTGTGCCAGGCTCCAAAGAATACAGCTGTACTCATGCTAAGTATAAAAAAAATCCTCACTTGAAATCTCATCTACATTATTGACAGGAAACTGCCTACAGGACAGGAAAAGAGCTGTGAGCTTTTCCTCAAAAAGAACCCATCCTCCCCACCTCTCCTAAAGATTATTAATCACTGACCCAAATCCAGCAGCTGCACAGCAAAGAGGGATTAAGAAAAGGAAGAAACAACCAGTGGAAATATTCCAACGCATTATGGTTTGTTTTAAAGAAAGCATGATTGGCCACCATCTGCTGTCTGACGTCAGACACAAGGATAGCAGCACTGTCTGAAAGGGAAATGGATTCCTGCCTTTGATGATGCACTTCTTGTGGCTGTTTGTTACTTTTGCAGGTGTGCACCAGACCTATGCTTAGCAGTGTTTAGACAGGAAAATGCTGGCGGGTACCCTTTCCTGGGTCACCTCCATTTTGGAACCTTAAAGGCTTATAACATGTGTGATGCCAGATATTCAAGCTGTGATGCAAAGCCAAATGAGCATATATCCTTATATCTGCAAGAGTACTGAGACCAAGGACTTAGCTGTGTATGAATTAGTAATCAGAACTGGCCATCATGATAGGTGTGACCATGGATGGATGGCTGCCTAAAGTCCAAAAGTTTTGGAAGGAGTTGCAGTGCAGGAGAAATTCATGTAGTCAGAATAATCCTTTACATTGGGGGGGGGGGGGGGGGGAGTGTGCGAATAAGATAAGTGAAGACAAGTACTCCCTTCCCAGTGAGCAGGAGTGGGAAGACCGTTGGAAAGTTCTGGAAGGGGAAGGAATAGGAGCGGAAAGGATTATGGATAATACAATGGAAGATGACCAAGAAAAAAAACAGGAAAAAATTGGTGGGTGGATGAGCAAGGCAGAAAGGTAGAAAGAATCTGCTCAATTTAGGGGGTCACGGGCCATTCTTTGCCTACGGCTTACCCAAACAATAATGCTATATGACCAGTCAGTTTTAATGGTCTTCATGGGATTTTCAAAAGTTGTTACTTTCTTCAGGTTCCAAGCTACACTTGGAAGAGGGCAGCTATTTATCTACCCCTCTCTCTCAGCACAAGGGCCCTTTCACATAGAACTAATACATTTGGGCTGCAGAGGACGTGTCATTCCCATTCATTCTATGATTGCCTGAAACTGAGTATTTTCCCCCATACTACTTAAAAAGTGTCACATTCACATAAAACCAAATTACAATCCAGCATGTAGTTCCAGAATGCAAACAGACTCCTCAAACAGAGAACCCACCATTCAAATCAGCAACCAGGGAAATGAAGGTATTGCCAATATAGATTGCCTAAGAGTTTTGGTGACTAATGTGGAATTGACAAACTCTCTCAGACAAGATGGCAATAGTGGTAAGATTTCTCTCATTAACATGCCGTTAAAACTGAATCAGAATGGATTCAATGTTGAACAGTTTTAATGAAGCAAATGTCAAGCAAGCATATCATCTTCTTAAACAAAGAAAGTCTAAAAGTTTAATTACAAAAACACCTATACAGAAAACTTGGCATTTCAGCAATTCCATACACATTAATCCAGCAAATGGAGTTCACTTTAATATAATTTGGTTAACATTTCTCACAGCGAAGAAAATGTCTTATATCCTACTTCTCCCCACATCACCACTTAATTTTTTTTGTCAGCCAACACACAAAAAAATGTAAACTGAAGTGACACTCATAAAAACACTGAAAAGGCAAAATTCATTTTTCATTGGGTAAATCAGTGCAGATCTGAAGTTTCTTAATGAGACAAAACACCTTCTGTAATAATGCTGGAGAGCAATAACCCAAACAACCTCTACTGCATCCCAGCTGCCATGCAACCCCATCTTTCTTCTACAATGGAGAAAAGAAAAAGATTTGTCAGTATGTAGCTAATATTAAATATCCCCTTCAATCTCCCATGCAAGCACAGGCATGCTTTGCTCACCATAGAGATTTTGACAATGTGTCAGGAGCTGGTGGCTCTATCTGATTTGTGTATGACATAGCAGCTTGCAACCATCCACACCTTAAATATGGACCCAAAGTGGATCAAGCCCTCACATCGCACATGTGAGTCTCAGTGGGGCATACCTCTGTACTAAAGATAAGAGTTACCATTGACTGACTTGTTAGAACTCTGTGGAACCCAGTTTTGGCTCAGGACTGCACTAAGGCTAGTCCCACATCAATACAGCAGTCAATTGACACTATTACTAAATGGTGTCAGGTGCATGAGATGCTGTTTATCTACGGGATGTCCTCTCTCCCAACTCCTTGTTCATTCTCAGAATTCATAACTAGTTCACATTAACATCAGGTGGTCTTGCCTACGTTAAGGAGAAAGAAAGTCAGTGCATCAAGTTGCAGCTTTTGTGGGTGAAGTCTTGAAAAATGCTGAGAGAGAAGACAAAAATTAGTCCCTCCCTGAAGGAAGACTTGAGTTTACAAGCAAATTTTTGCTGTTTGGCTGCAGTGAAGGTAGCAGCTGCAAGGCAAGGTGTGAGCCCCTGTCATAGAGGGCTTTGACTTGGAAGTGGCTTCAAGCAAGTGTGAAATCTGTGCAGTGTGCACTAAAGAGTAAAAAAGGAAGTACTTTTTTATCTTCAAGTAAAAAATTGGGCAGATGCTTACACTGCAGATCCATGAAACTGTTCTTTCTTGAACCAGCAAGGTAATAAAAGAATGCCCAGTTCATAATGGGAAAAGTGTCAAGATTTTCTGAAGGAGGAGTGGGAAGGTGGCATGTGGACCAGAGAGCATGGCTGAACCATCATAATAAACCCTAAGGGTATTCAAGAAGTGCTCAGCAGAAGCCTAAACTAATAATTGGACAGGAGCCCAAGGGCTGCAAATAATTTGCTGAAGAGGGTGCAGACAGTAGATGTCTTCATTTTTGACAAGGAGGTAAGGTGCAACTCAGAGAAACTACAGATTTCAGCATGCAAAAACACACTAGCCATGAGTGAAAGGCCACATCTATTGTATAAAGAGGAGGGTAGCCATTGGTTGCACTGCAGAATTTTATGTGCCACAATTTGATCATCTCTACTAAAAAGCTGCTCTCTGTGATTACCCTTCATTGCAGGCCCCTTTTATAAAAACAGTTTATTAGCAGATGGACAAAGGGAAATGTAACTCCCCTGTCCGCTTCCCTTTGTGCTGGAGAAACGGCTTGGAACATAATATTATTTGTTCAAGTAGGCTGCAGTATACACCATATTAGATAAAGCAACATATCAAGGGACAGAAAAGAGACGTGTTTTACTTTATCTAAAATAAAGTTTTGCACTTTTCCTACTGGCTGAGAGGAGCCAGCCTTTCACTTTCTCTCTTGATTACTACTGACCTTTTCAGCAGTAAAATGCTGCACCAGACCTTTTCAATAGAAAGGAACAGCAGTGCCTTGCTGAGAAGCAGAACACTGCATACGTGCAGCAGAGATGCTTGGAAAGAGTAGGTGGGAGGGGGGAAAAGAGAACAATTCCTTCAGTGCAGCTAAGTCCTGAAGCACCAGGTACAGCCTATACCAGCAGGAAGGATCCTCATGTACGAGATGAGCCGAGCACAAAAAAGAGAAGCTTGAATTGAAGACACAACAGGTAGGGCAGGATGGTGCAGTAAAGAAGCCTATGACTGTCATAGCAAAGAATTCAGATGTTGCTATACAGCGCAGCAAACATCAGCCAACAGGAAAAGGACAAAAGGGTTAATGAACCCCCACAGAAAGGATATGAAGAGATAGAAAGCAACATAACATTTCAAAGCTCCATTACCACAAAATAAAGGCTGCCCCAACTACACAGACTGGAAGTAGATTCACTTCCAGTGTTGTCCAGTCCACAGTGTGTTGGATTTCCCTCCACCCAACTGAAATGATGGAAAACTGATGACTGCATGGTAGTCACATGCTTTGAAAGCTTTACATGAAGGACAGTTCAAATGTATAGTTGGTGGTGCCTGTGGCTTCACAGGAGCTTTCAATTCATTGAACAGTTTGTCTCATAGGCAAGCTACATAGGCAGGGACCAGGACTGATCCTGAAGTCCTGCCTCTCACCATCACTCTGTTTCCACCATGGCTTCTCATTCCTCACTGACTGAATCACTTTTTAAAGACACTCCTGGCCCAGGAGCCCTGCAGATGAAACAAAAACATAAAGATTAGACGTTTAGAACAGTCTGTCAAAATGAAACAAGACTTCGTGTAGAAAGGGTTAATTTAAGGAGACCATATAAAAGCACACAAGATAGCTGGCAAGCCTACGGAGAAAGGAGCTTGTCAAAATGCTTGGATAACTTTCCAGTGAGAAACCAGAATATGATCCTTTATAAGAGTTATCAGGAAGTCAGCTCTGAAAAATCACCTTATAATCCGTGTTTCAGACCAATTATTTTCAGATAAACCATTTCCCCATGTATGTGTGCGTATCTTTGGGGCAGGGACTGTCTGTACAATGCCCACATTCTTGGTTAGTCCCTAGGAACTACTATAACAAACTACTATAATAATAATCATCATACAATGTAGCTCCCTAGGCTACCGGGAGCCTGTATTAAAGTGTGTCTGTAACTCTGGACATGACACAGTCTCCCTGGGAGGAAAGGGGAGCCAAGGCAGACTCAGAGTCGGCTAGGCAAGAAGGAGAGAGGAGAGCCACTCTATATAGGGGCCTACCACATTCATGGGCGTGTAAAACATATAATGGGCTGTGAAATCTGGTCTCCCCATGAAATCTGATTTTTATGTATTTTTACCCTATACTACTGAGATTTCCGGGGGGGGGGGGGGAGACAGTGTTTCTCAAACTGTAGGTTCCAACCCAAAAGGGGATCAGGGGAGGGGAACTTGGAAGGCTATAGCAGAAGAGTTGTGGTATTGGCACCCTTTTTTCTACGCCGGATGCAGAGCTGGAGAGCGGTGGCTGGAGATTGGTAGCAACTAACCAAGGGCCCAGCCCTGAAGGTAGCAATACAAAGTGAGGGTGACAGTATAATACTGTGCCATCCTAACTTCTGTGGTGCTGCTGACGTGGCTTTGCCTTCAGAGCTGGGCTTCTAGCCAGCAGTTGCCGCTCTCTGTCCTCCCAGCTCTGAAGGCAGCACTGCCACCAACAGCAGTACAGACGTAAGGGTGGCAATACCACAACTCCTCTACAATAACCTTGCAATCCCTCCACAACTTCCTTTGGAGTCAGGACCTGTACAATTAAAATTTCAGATTTAAATATCTACTGTCATGAAATGTGTTGTTTTTAAAATGCTATGACTGTAAAATTGACCAAAATGGATTGCGAATTTGGTAAGGCCCTAATTATATAGAATACCAAGGATCCTGTTGGTTTGGGGTCCTTCTTGGAGGAATGGGCAGAGTCAACTGATTGACAAGTGAAAGCCCAGGAAGACTTTGACCAACAGAGAATGAGCTGCCATACCATGTAAGCCCTGGAGGTGGGAAAAGCCATTTTGGAGTTGTCTGGAAACAGCCACAGACAGGGCAGGACTGGTGAGGGGGAGCTAGTGAGTCCCAACCATGCATGCAAGGTTCCACCTGAGAACTGGCCTCTGGAAACTTGGAAGCAACTTCCCTCTGGCTTAGGCCTTTCCCATGCCACTGCAGATCTCAGTTTGTAAAGTTTTGTGGGGAAAATTTCCCCAGCTTGGCTGAGTAAGTCCTTCAGCTGCCTAGGGAAAAATCAGTCTCTATCTGGTACCTCTGCTCTGGTCGAGAGTCCAAGGCTGTTACTGGTTGTGAATGCACCTGAGCACTAGAGTAAGAGACTAAAAAGTATGGGATTTTATTATAGGTGCAAACATGCATCTTGAGCCCTGCACCCCTTTGCAGTGATGGGAAATCCTGGGTCCAGAAGCAGTCTCACTCCTGCATAAGAAGGGCACTTGCAAGTAGCGATCAGCCCCTTTGCAGTGACTAAGGAGACCAGAGTCATCTCTGAACCTGATGACCATTTGTGGAGTTGTGAGAGCTTCATCCTTTCATTAGCTAATCAGAGAGTGTTTAGGAGATCCTTCTACTCTCTGAGCTATGTGCTCAAGCTGGGGGGAAGGATTTGAGGATTTAATTACCTGCTACCTATTAAACCTGTAGAAGGACATACTATCTTATCCTACTTGTGAGTCTTTGAACCCAGTCAGCCAACTTGCCAACTGCTGCACAGAAGGTATTGTGGTCATAAGTTATGAAATGCCCCTACTAAGTATGTCTATCGATGGGATGCTAATGTTTATGTTTGCTATATTAGGTCACGTAACTGAGGGAATTCAAGGGTATCATAAGTGTGGGGCACCAGTGACACTGAGAATAGTGTTTTACCTGTTATATTATACTTATCTTCTGTTTAATATAATTACTGTGTTGAATATACCTCAAATGTGTATTATTTCTTAGAAGTCTCCAACTATTTGGCAACTATGAGGAGGTTACCCTGTGGTTAGATTTCCACTCCAACTGCCCTGTTGATTTTACTAGGAAAGATGGTTGAAGTGCTTCCAAATAAATTCATATGGGAAGAAAACTAAGAAGTTACATCCTGCCAAGTGGGAGGTGGGATACAGAAGAACCCAGGCCTGCCCATCAGAAGCCATAAGGAAATTGGAATTAAAGGAGGTAACTGGGTGGATAGAGGGCCCTACACCTATATTTCTGTATACATAAAGTGTTATCTCTATATTTTAATATTCTGTTGGGTGTTTCTGTTCTTCAGTGGTGTATAATTCAGTCATTTGATAGGTATGTTAGCCATTAGAAATCAGGTTAGCTCTGAGACTAACATTTTTGAAGAATTCCATAACTGTAAAGGCAAAAAGGTTTCTGATCTTTGGTTTTATTTTTAAATGTGCCTCTGAGCGTCAAGAAATCTATCTGGCTGATACACATTTTTTGGGAGAATACTTATACTGTATATTCAGACTATTTAAGGGAAGATGGTGCTAATAACCTGCCAATGGTCTTTGCAGTATGGCATCTCTAAGTTCTCTGACCCTCTCCATTTTTAAGGTTCTTGCATTTGTTGAACCCTCTTACACAAAAAACCCCATAACGCTCTCCCTCAAATTGCCTTTTCAAGCTCTTGTCACTGGATGCCAAGTGCATATCAGGATAATTAATTGTACCATGAGTGCCTGGAACATCAGGCTCAATTGTTTGTACACATTTGTATAAAAAAGGCAGGCCATTATTAATTACATTTAAAAATTGTCTTCTATACTGTTTTTCTAGAGATCGGTTAACCTTTTAACCATACTTGGGAAGGAGGATTTCTGGAGCAAAAACTTCCCCCCTAAACTGCTCAAAGCTGTTTCCAATTTTTCTAAAAGCAGTACATTTACATTTTGAAACCACAGAAAAATATCAGTAACTCCTAGGAAACAAGAGTCTCCAGAGGCTTCCCAAGACAGCTAGGGCCCAAAGCATACAGTAGAAAATGCCTAGATTTTTGTAACTTTGAGACAGGTGTTTTCTCTTTAAAGCACCAAAACCTTTCTCAAGGACTAGGGTGCCCTTTGAACACCTAGCAGAGGGGAAACCACGTTACCAGTTATTCCTTTTTAGCACAAGTTCTCCCAGCCCCCTCTAATCCTCAATTCTCTCTCTCTCTCTCTTTTTTTTTTTGAGTCTACATAAGTGCTAATTAAAAACACTGTGTGAAAATTAGAAGGCTGATGAGCTTTTGAAAATCCCAGACCTAGATCCACAAGCTGTTCCCTTTCATAAACAGCAGCAGTAATGCCACTTCTTTATTCTGCTGGGAGCTCAGTCATCTCTTAGAACTATAGTCCGTTCCATCTGGCTACTCACTGGAAGGACAATGATCTTTTGGCTTCAGCCATGCTATAATGGGGAGATATAATTAATTGCACTGTGCAATATCACAAAAAGTCATAACCAGGAAGGATGAAAACTCCTGCCTTCATATTTTGCAGTTGAATCAGACTCATAACACAAAGTCAGAATTTTAGATGCTTTTTATACATGTCATTCATTGAGCAGAATATACTGGGATATACTGTATATATTCCAGAAAATCCAGGCCAATGTACTTACTGCAACAAAAGCAGGCAAAACATTTAACATATTCAGATCCAAATTGCAACATTATAATCCATTTGTTGCTCCACAAAGTACATTAATCTATGTATAGCATGAAAAGGTGCACTATGTTGCAAAAATTGGGTTGTTTTGCTTGCTTGCCATTCATCAAGTCTCTTATTTAGGCTTTTCTAGCTGGTGAGCAAAAAAGTAAAATTTGTAGGCTTGTGATATCTGATATATTATATGCATATCACAAAGATATATTAGATCATTAAACTTCAGCAAATGCTACATGTGGCCTGACCCAGTTATATCTGTGTACAATTTACCTGTGTATTTTTGCAGGTCCTGGAGAACCTAACATAACCAACTTGACAGTTTCCATGTGCTACAGACTTGCTAAGTGTCCATAACAAAACTGGAAGCTGTTTTAACTTTAGGAATTCAGTTTAGCTGGTGAACAATCTCTTGGTGATAACAGGATTTCTCAATGATTACCACAACTAGCACACATTTACTGCAGAATTCTTCAGATTCATCATGCCTGACAGAGACATCTTCACCATTAGCACCCACTACAGTTTCACCAGTACATGTCACATGCTAAGAAATGTTCCTCCTTCTCTGTTCTACTCTAGATTTTGGCAGTCTTATTATTCCTCTGACATCAACCAAAACGTGAAACAATCCTGAAACATACCAAGCTCTTGTGTCTGCCTTAGAAATCAGGGAGGAGATTTTCAAAGCCATAAATGGGAGTAAAAAGGCCCAACAAAAAATGGTAAACAATCTCAATACTTTTTATGTCTTTAAATATCTCCTCTCATTTATTTCCAGGCTTGGTGCAATGGCTGTGGTGTAGGTGCTGGTAAGCAAACCAATCTGAGCAAGAACATGCTTACCCAAGTCACTAGCGATCAAGCCGGCTTACAACCTCTCGGACTGTGGCTATGAGATTCTCATTCTCCTGTGGGTTAGCCAGAATAATACTGTGCAGTCTGTTCATGTATGAATCAATGGTATCCATTGTTGGAGTCTCCCCACTGCCTACAGAAAAAAACAAGCCACACAATATTTAGTTAAACTACAGCAGTATCAAACATTATGGAAGGTTTGTGCCAAAGGAAAACATAACACACATAGTGAAAAATGATGAGATCAAAAAGAAATGGAACAGAAGTAAAGCATAAATATTTAGCAACAAAAGCCCTGATCCTAAAAGGTATTTAGGTGCCTAACTTTCATTGATTTCAGTGAAATTTAGGAACCTAGGAAGATTGAGGCCAAAGTGATCATATCATAGAATCACAGAATATTAGAACTGGAAGGGAGGTCGAGAGGTCATCAAGTCCAGTCCCCTGCCCTCACGGCAGGACCAAGCACCGTCTAGACCGCCCCTGTTAAATGTCTGTCTAGCCTGATCTTAAATATCTCCAGTGACAGAGATTCCACAACCTCCCGAGGCAATTTATTCCAGTGTTTTAACAACCCTGAAAGTTAGGAAGTTTTTCCTAATGTCTAACCTAAACTTTCCTTGCTGCAATTTAAGCCCATTGCTTCTTGTCCTATCATCCTAGGCCAAAGAGAACAATTTTCTTCCTCCTCTCTATAACACCTTTTTAGATACTTGAAAACTGCTATCATTGTCCCCTTTCAGTCTTCTCTTTTCAAAGCTAAACAAGCCCAGTTCTTTCAGTCTTCCCTCATAGCTCATGTTTTCTAAACCTTTTATCATTTTGTTGCTCTTCTCTGGATATCTTTCTTGAAATGTGATGCTCAGAACTGGACAAATACTCCAACTGAGGCCTAATCAGTGCAGGGTAGAGCAGAAGAATGACTTCTTGTGTCTTGCTCCTGTTAATGCATCCCAGAATCAGGTTTGCTGCTTTTCTTTTTTTGTGTGCAAGTGTTACACTGTTGGCACATATTTATCTTGTGGTCCATTAAGACCCCTAGAACTCTTTCTGCAGTACTCCTTCCTAGACAATTACTTCCCATTCTGTATGTGTGAAACTGATTGTTCCTTCCTAAATGGAGTACTTTTCATTTGTCCTTATTAAACTTCATCCTATTTACCTTGGACCATTTCTCTAGTTTGTCCAGATCATTTTGAATATGGGTACACAGCAGTACTGTTCAATATGTCTGCACCTATAAATGACCTCTGGGATCACAAAAAAGAGAAAAGCTTCAATACAGAGAGTAACTGTATTGGGAAGGTTACAAAACTCTAGCCCCCATACTGCATCAATGACTTCCAGCACAGAAAAGGCTTAAAAACAAAGCTGTTGCTTAGAATTACTAAACCGGGTCACAGATAGTAAATTCACAGGAAACAGTGGCATACAACTAACAGAAGTTGGGCGTAAGCAATGATAGTGAAGCCCTATAAGGAAAGGGGGATTACCTGGTAGTGGGACTCCGGAAAAGCTGCTGGTGAGTGCTTGTCGTAAAGTCTCCAGATGCTGCTGCAGCACTGTGTTCCGGCTGCGCTCCTGAATCACATCCACCTCCAGCTTCTCCACAGCAGTGCGCATACTCTCCACATGTTTCTGCAGCGCAGCATTCCTCTCCTCAAACTCCATGTTGGATTTACGCAGCTGGCGCAGCTCTGCTTCCCGTGCTGTGAACACACCCCAAAAAAGGTACAAAGTAATTCTAGAAAGTATTCCTGTGATCAGGGGTGGTGAAGCAGAATGGTTAGGGATGTCTGCTGAACTGAGGATTAAAAAAAACAGTGGTATTTTGGGCTTCACCATCCCCCGATCACAGGAAGCCTCCCACCAGAGAACATATAATGCCTGGAATTCTGAATTCAATGCAATACCAGAGACATTGACAAATCAGAGCAGAGGTACAAAAATGGAAGGAAGGAAGATTGAAGGAACTACTGTGAATACATTCAGCACGTTAGCTCAGCAAAATAGTGACCAAAGGTATAGAGACCAGCAACTGACTACAAATAGTAGCAGGATGTACACTTTAGGTGCTTGACGCTGAAATCTGTTCGAGTATAATATAACTTCCCAAGGGAACTGGCAGAAACCCCATCACTTGAGACATATGAATATAAAAATCAAATCCTACACCAATGGAGAAGATATTGTAGAACAATTTTGGCTGGAGTCATGGACAAATTGGCTCAAAGAGTCTTTATATTTTCTAACTTCTGTGACTACAAATTAAAATGTTGTGAACTAGTCCACATTATCTACTCAAATATTTCAAAGATTTCCTCATATTAACAGCAACTGCAGCTAGGGAAGACTGGGAAAATAGCATCTCTCTGAGCTCGCCTACAGTTTGTACACCAGCACCCTTCTCCACAGAAAACCCTGTTGGAAGAGGAGATGTTGTCAGCTCATCCAACAACCCTCGGAGATACAGTAAGCTTCTCAACACCTTGAGCCATCTGACTTCACTCTTTCTGTAAAGCACTTTCTCCCATTTCAGCCAGGCAGACATCCCTGTGCAGGGCTGGTAAAAACACTGCATGAGCTTAATTCACCTTTGCTGTGATTCAGGAACTGTTCTGTGAAGATGGGGATATCAAAAACAGATCTCTCCTTTGTGTCTGCTTCTTTCTGCAGATAGAAAGTGACACAGAGTTACATCCTGCTAATTCTCAGCAGTTAAATAAAAGAAGTGACAGATTTATTAAGGAATCAAAAAGGATAGAGATGATTCAACAAGCCCCTTTTACTAAAGAAGCTATTGGACAAAACATACACTGAGCTGGAGATAACAAAGACTCCCAATCCAACCCACAAGGTAGAATAATAGAATCATAGGGCTGAATAGGGTCAGGAGGTCATCAAGTCCAGCTCCCTGCCCAAAGCAGGACCAATCCCAACTAAATCAACCCAGCCAGGGCTTTGTCAAGCCAAGACTTAAAAACCTCTAGGGATGGAGATTCCACCACCTCTCTAGGTAACCCATTCCAGTAGTTCACCACCCTCCTAGTGAAATAGTTTTTCCTAATATCCAACCTAGACCTCCCCCACTGTAACTTGAGATGTATTTGAGATGTATTGGGAAAATGGGAGTTTAACAAATGTAGATCTCAGTGATCCAGAAATTTCATATAACCTGCTACCAGACTTTTTTGCCTTAATGAAATTACACAACACTTCAATACATTCATTGCTAGTCTCATTAATTCATCCACTGCTCCAAATCACCATACTTCAGAACAAGCCTGTACAGTAAGACAAGAGGGGAGATAAGGTAAATGATAGTTATGGTAAGTTTTATAGCTTTGTTTCTGATCATCAGTGCCAAGATATCCTGTTACTAGTGAGAGAACAGGAAAAGGAGCTGAGAAAAGAAAACAGAGAATCTTGCTATGGTCTCAGAGTTCCTTGTTTCTGTCTGTTAGGGATTGCAGAAGGTCCAGAGGTGACATATTCTCCCTCAGAAATAAAAACAGGAGCTACACAATACTTTAAATGAGCCATATCTTTGTCAAGCAGGCTAGTAATCAGAGTTTTTGTAATGGATGAAAACAGATACAGTGGCATATAATTTATGCAAGTTGCCAAAGGGAAATATTGCTAAGACTAGCAACGGTAAGGTGATTTCTGTTTCATTTTCTGGGGGAAGAAAGAGAGGAAAAGGAAAGTGTGTGAGTGTTCTTTTGAAAAAGCAAACTTTTCTTCCCATACACTCTTCTTGGTTCCTGATTACAGTGGCACTTATGCAGATCTCCATCATTGTTGGGATGACTTCAGTCATTTGGGTTTTTACCCTTTGCATGCTGCAAAGCCAAGCTGCGCATGGGTGAGGTTCATAAATCCACAACTGTACAACGGCATTGATCATTTTCTTTCAGACTGGGGGCACAGGAGCTATCAGGAACCACTGCCTGGGAGACAATTCTCATCCCCACCTCCAATGCATAATGTTGTCAATCAGGTGTACATCAGGGGTTATAAGCATGTAGTTGGAGGTTGCTTCTAACTCTCTTAACAACACACTATTGGCAGGTGAGCAGCAAAGCAAAACATACAAAATCCTGACTTCTGAAATATTGTCTGCTGACACTTCTAAAATTAGGACTCTAGTAAGTTTTATTGTCCACCCGTGCACAGAATAGAAACATCAATAGATCCTAAGTCAGTGAGCAGAGAAGGCAAGAAGGAGGCAACACTAAGTTGAACACTATTTGCAACAATATTTGCTGGAGGTCATCTTTTGTGATCCTAGGGATGCTTTTCTCCTATACAGAGGGACTGTACGTAACTGTACCTTCACTTATTACTGTAGATCATTTTCTGTAGCAATGACATGAACGCCTCTTTGGAGAGCATTGAATCTGCAAAGGAGGGGCAACAACTTTGCCAGTGTTTGTACAGATTTCAAACTTTGGCATTTTTCTAGTCAGATATGGAAGGAAGTGTATGTCTACACAACAGGGCAAAAGTTGACTTAAGCTATGCAGCTTCAGCTACGTCAATTGCATAGCTGAAGTCAAAATAGCTTAATTTGGCTTTTGGTGCTGTCTACACAGCAGGAAGTTGAAGGGTACTCTTCCTCGACTTTCCTTACTTCTTGTAAAATGAGGGTTATAGGAGTCGAAGTAAGAAGTTGTCCACCTTGAAATTATTTTGAAATAATGGCTTGCTGTGTAGATGTGCACTATGTTATTTTGAAATAATGTCAGTTATTCCAAAATAACGCTGCTGTGTAGATGTACCTGAAGTGAAAAGAAAACAGAAACTGTAACACTGACTAGTGCTGAACCAATTCCTCAACTTGGGTCCAGCAGATACTGTGCTTTTGGTGGTCATTATTATTTTTTAAGTGCTAGTAATGCGTGTGGTGGAGCTAGGCAAATTTTCGGTGAACAGTTTATTCACTGAAAAATAAATTTCAGTTGACACAAAACCCTGTGAATTTTTGTCAAGATCATCAAATAGTTTCAAATGAACTGGAGAAAAATGAAATGTTTAATTTTGATTCAACCCCAATTTTATTTCAATTACTGGCATTGTGACAAAAGCAGAGGAGGACTAGAGACATAAAACAGAGAGCAGGACAGTGGCAACAGACTCTTTTCTAATCTTTAGTTTAGTGGCTAGTGCATTCTCGTGAGTTAAGAGGGATGGGTTCAATCCCCCATTCTGCCTGATGTGGAGAAGGAATTTGAATGTGGGTCTCCCTAATTGCCAGAGTGTCCTCTCCTCTTGGCTATGGAATAGTTTAGGATGAGTCTCTCAGTGTCTTCTGTTGAAGGTCTTCCACTGTTTATAAATAGTAACTGGAGCAGAGACTTTGAAATGCCAGGTGAATGCTCGAAGTATCAGGCTACAGAGTTAGTCTCCCTTTCTATCCCTGTCCCAATGACTATTTATTATTATACCCAGTGACAATTCATAGCCATTCATAATGCCAATAAATGGTTCAACTGATGTCCCCACATCAGGCAGATGGGGGAACTGAGCCCACAGCCCTCTCGCATCACTACTGAATGCCATAACCACATCCCAGGCAGGTGCTCTGGCCACTGAGCTAAATGTTAGAAGGGAGGCCTCCTCCTCTTCAGGACAAAACAAAAATATTTCATTTTGATACCACTTGAAAATGTTGAGTTTCTTGCTTCCTCAAATACTGCAACAAATTTTGTGTTTGGTGTAATTCAAAACAATTTTTTTCCCCAAATGTTTAGAATTGCCAACAAATTAAAAAAAAATCCATTATTTACTCAGCTCTAATGTGCAGTGTTGTATAACACAATACTTAGTAATCTTTTTAAAATTAGAATTAAATCAAGAAACATGATCACCTGTAGTCAAACATCTAGTAGTTTTCAATAATGCATCTGCTGCCTGAGTCAAATTAAATTATATTCTAAAATCCCTTTGCAGATTTTTGTTCTATACAGAAGTAAGTTTTCACTTTCTTTCTGAAAATGTTGAGCTGTCATAGCCTACCCAAAATTGATAATGACTAACGTGGGCAATTTCAGTTAGGGAATAACATTTCAGTTAGGGATGTAAAATCCTGTTTAATTGGTTAACCAGTTAACTGATTAAAGGGGGTCGGTGGACAGGCCACTCCATCCTGCGGTGGACGGGAGGGTGGGCTGGGGCCCGTTCACATCCCTAATTTCAGTGGCAAAAGAAGTGATCCCAATGTATGGTTTATGTGTCTATTAAGTATGCAAACTGTTTTAAAACCCTCAGAGATAAAAGGTGAAATGTTAATGGAAGACTTTCTTTACAAAAAAGTAAAGAAAGACAGACAAAAAGTAACCCTGAAGAATTATTATGAAGGTTTTTTTTCCTTTAAGGATTTCTACAAAGAACCTTAAAGTCCATATTTTTAGTGATGCTTCACCACAAGTCAAAAGCAATAAGAATAAAGGTTTGCTTGCAAAGTATAAATTGATTATGTTAAAGAAACAACAGAGCTTTCTTGTTTGAGAAATTGGGGCAACTATAATCAAACTGCTGTTTAATATCAGAACAAAGATAAGCATTAGAGAAATTGCTACTGATAGTAGAAGATTCTCAAACCTCTAAAACATCTCTTGACTGGTAAAATGCACCAAGAAATCATTCTTTCAAAACCATGTTTAAAGCGTGAGATAAAAATGCCTCTCTCCTGCTTCTGCCACCACTATAGTCTCTTATATTTGAACACCTTGGGCTTTAAATGAAATGTCAAACATGATTTGGTACCCAGAAGAAAAGCTAAGTGGCTATCAGGGAATTCTGGCAGCTAAGCTTAGTGTTTCATATTGGTGTCTGGCTCATAAAGGGGCTAGACAGGGGTGAAGCGAGAGCCATTTGGCAGTCAGCCAAGACAGACCTGGCTAGATGGAATTTCAAAAACTCTCCAACTGTTTACCTGATTTAACTGTCAAGAGTTAGTTTATTTATTTTTACTTTCTTCTTTAAAAAAAGTAAAGCTAAGTTACATAACCTGGTAAAATTGCAATTGGGCTAGATTCAACAAGAGAGCACAACGCTACAGACCAAATGGGCTTGTACTCAAGACAGAGCAAAAATAAAAAGAGTCCTGATTTTCTGAGGGGCTGAAGAGATGCAATAAGGTAACAATCACTTCCCTTATCATACCCATTATCGGCCCAAATTCCGATGCATGTTACTACAGAAAAAAAAAATCTCAGCATGTATATTCAGAAAATGAGGAGTCACATATAGCAACAAGCCTGGCAATGTACTCATCTAATCTTAACACTCTCTAGACAACCACAAATTAATTTCTTCTAGAACTCCAGGGTCCCAGCAGTTACACACTCCAAGGAACGCGGACAATTATGCAGCTTGCCCTTCAAGTGCTTTTGCTCAATCAGCCTAGGCAATTCGTGCATGGTAGTACAAGCTGTGTGTAGGAAGGCATTGGAAAGGGCCAGTAATGACTCCTGCAGACTGAAGGGCAGAGGAGAGGGTATTACAGACATTATATATGCTGCCCCAGGGTAGAGATTTTTCAGGTACAAAATAAAAAACATTAACGCAATTAGGTGGAATTGCTCTGTCTCTGAAAAGCAACAGAGAAATTCTACTTAACGGAAGAGTGGTAATGAAAACCCATCAGCACTCTTCCATTACCAAGTACATTACCCAGCATGTAAAGGATCCCCTTGGGGACTTGGATAGACTTAAGCCACTCTAAGGCTTGCTCAGGGGATTAAAATCATAAGGATTTGATTACCTCTTCATTGAAAAGGCCTAATTTGTTCAGGCTGAGTGTCGTTTTATATTTCCCATAAATTAAGAGAAACAAAAAATGTATTGTTTCTATCTTTGTCCTTAAAAGAGATGGAGACATTTCCAGAATGTCACCCTGGAAAATTATTCACTGAGCTGTTAAACTGGGGTCTGTGTTAGGGGCTTCAGAGACACACTGAACTTGAAGTACTTAACAGCAATAGAAGATTGAAGGTATGTGGGGAAAGAAAGAGAAAGAAGAGAGGTCTTTTTGAATTGCAATGATTGTGCAATGGCTGTGACTATCATACAAATACCTCTCAAGTTCTCTGCATTATAATGAATACTTTCAACTGGGTAGACAATTTTTGCGGTGCTCTACTACTTTATCAAGCCATGTGCCTTACACTGTACTCTACATTATAGACACCATGAAGCAGGCCTCCCTCACCTAAGCATGGTCACTTCAAGCCATGTTAATAAGGAAACATTTTCCTAATCAGCTAAACAAAGCTGGGGGTTCTCTGATGCAACAGTTTCATGAAAGGTAGAGCAGAAGAGCAAAAACACAGAGTCTGTGTCTACATTGGCAAGATTTAGCACAAAAGCAGCCACTTTTGTACAAAATCTTGCTGCCTGTCTACACTGGCCGTGAGCATTTGTGCAAGAACACTGACGTTCAACTGTATGAAATCAGTGCTTCTTGCGCAAATATCCTGATGCTCCCGATCAGGGATAAGTCCTCTTGCCAAGTGTTCTTGCGTAAGTGGCCAGTGTAGACAGGTAACATCAATTTCTTGCGCAAGAAAGCCCGATGGCTAAAATGGCCATCGGAGCTTTCTTGCGCAACAGAGCATCTACACTGGCACGGATGCTTTTGCGCAAAAGCAAATCTTTTGCACAAAGGCACATGCCAGTATAGACACTCTCTTACTCAAATACTCTAATGCAAAAACACTTGCATTTAGAGTATTTGCGCTAAATCTTGCCAGTCTAGATGTAGCCAGAGAGAAAAGAGCTGAAGAGAACTGAAGTACACAATAGCGTTGAGACATGACATACAAACAATGCAATATGCTAAGGGAAGGGAAAATAACAATCCTTTAGAAAGTCTTGTTACATTTGAGGTTTGTAAGGTCACTTTTGATTAGTGTGAAATACTGAGAGTGTAAATACACAATCTGTTATTTTAAACCAAGAATAAAATTCACAGCAATCACTGTTCATCACGTACAATAAATTCCACATAAAAATACATGAATATTGGATTTATAGAAAGAATAATCTATATATTTTACTGTCACTAAATCAAATGTACTACTTTTTTTTTGTCCTTTGCTACACGTTTTGAAGGTCATTGCTATGCATGTGCACTATCAACATTGCTGATGGTAGATAAACTAGTACCACTGAAGAAAAGCTTCCTTGACTAGCTAGAGGTGCTCTCACATTTTTGCAAGAGATAATTTCACAGATCCTCTCTGATGGTCACAGAATTACCACAACAGGGAAGCAATAGGGAACTAGAGCAATAGAGAAAGAAGAATGGGACATAGATCCAGGAGCTGCAGAGATCTTAAATCTAATAGTGACTTGCTATGCAATCTTGGATAAGTCACTTAACCTTTCTGTACCTAAGCTTCAGGGGGTAGCCAAGTTAGTTTGTAACAGGAAAAACTTAAAAAACAACAAATAGTCTAGTAGCACTTTTAATACTAATAAAACATGTAGATGGTATCTTGAGCTTTCGTGGGCACAAACCACTTCTTCAGATGAATGGAATGTTGGACTACAGGTATATAGTACTACATGCCAATTTTTTTAAAGACGTTTCCTATTTGCAGGATTTTCTGCTTCCAAAATTTTCACTGCAGTTTTGCACCTGATGTCGAATTGTACATGTACAACAAGTATATCAAAGATACAATTATTCCGCCGCAGACTCAGAATCTGTTCTGAGATTCCAAATCACAGGTGTAAGTTTTGCAATCAAATTACACTTACAAAAGGAGAGGCTGGGCCTCTGTCCTTTTAAAAACAAACCCTAAAAAATAATTTCCTCTTCATTTCAGGTAACTTATACCTGCATGGACTAGCTCCTGATTTGGTAAGTAGCACCAAAACAGTGCAGACATTTTTCAATTGCTATTCACTTTTGATTCTGTATAGTTTTTTTTTTTTTTTTAAGGAGCAGCATGTGTAAATGGTCCCCATTGTCAAAGAAAAGGTGAGAAACTTGCATAAATCTATAAGGACAGACCCTAAGAAGGTATAAACTGTCAGCTTCCCCCAACTTCAATAGCCATTTTCCCCTGCCGTGTAGAAGGGAGGAAGGCATTTACCTCATGGTCATGGACAGTCTGTCGTGCTCCATCTAAAACAAATAAAAAGATAAGATGATCTTGGGGAAAAAAAAAGTAATGAAGGAGGAAACTAGCTGTACAGCCCAATAAAACACACCTAGTTATTCTATAAGGGCCTTAGCACGTAGTACCTTGGTCTACCTTAGGTTTTTCTAATGCACAGTAGAGGCTATGTAAAACTAATCACTCTGCAAGGCCAACCAAACAAAGTAATATGTTCTAAGCAGTGTAAGAATCACAGGCTTTATTTAAAAAAAAGGGCTTAACACCTGCTAATTGACTATATGCCTGGAATATTTTATTACTCTAACTAATATTGGTGACTATAAGAACTGCCATGATGGGTCAGATTAATGATCCATCTAGCCCAGTATCCTGTCTTCCAAGTGTGAACAATGTGTTCCTTATACTTGTAAGACGCGATTCTGTTAAGGTTTAATACCTTGCCGGTGTGATTTGCCTTTCTGCCTGTCCTGTGCTTTCCTGCTAAAGACTTTGTAGGCTTCTGTCTTCTGGTACTGCTCCAGTTCCCTCATGTAACGTTCCTTATCTCTATCCGCTTCATCAAGGTAGCGCTGCAAAATAAGAAAACAGAGAATGTCAGGAAAAAAACCAAATAATCATATGAATAAATTGGTGACCATCTTACAAGGATAAATAGGAAATGAGTGAGAATGCTTGAGAAGCTCAGAACATGGAAACCTGAGAGAGGATAATCATGGCCAAAAAGGTTAAAAACAGAGATCTCTCCATAACAGTTTTTATCTAACTACTCCTCCTCCTATTAAACTTAATTCTTGACTGATTGCAATAATTGACTTAGTTACTGAGGTGACTTGCTACCAGGCTACTCAATGCAGCCAAGTGTTATCTTCACATAAGGCAGGTCTACGTTATGTGGAAAAGTTGAGCTAAGCTACACAACTTGAGCTATATTAGTAACGTAACTCAAGTTGGCATAGCTTAGATCTACTTACCATGGATCCACACCCTTTGGGGTTGACGGGAAAAACTCTCCCGTCGACTTCCCTTGCTCATCTCTTCCTGGTGGAGTACTAGAGTTGACATCCAAGCGATTGGTGGTAGATTTAGCAGGTCTTCACTTGATCTGCTAAATCAACCCGTTGGATCGATCGCTGCAGCATCGAACCAGGCTATAGTGGAGACAAGCCTCAGTCAGAAAATATTTATGAGCTGGATGTTTGTGGCTAGCACTATGCATTGTTGAACAGAATGCTCTGGGTGCAGCTCACCCTTAAGAGCTCAGATTGTTCCCGAGGTACATCAGTCTTCCTGGAGCAGAGTACTGTGTTTTTTAACCTTCAGACCTCTAGGAGAAAGGCCAATACCATGCTGTGTCATCACAATATCTTGTCCTATCATCTGATGGGGAGACAGATGTAGCTACCATGAGTGAACAGTTTAGAGTGAATAGAAACAAGAAGGGTCTATCAGTTTAAGCCTTAATGGTATTTCAGTCTATTTTTAAGAAAAACTGGAAGCATCTTCATACATTTGCTTAATGCAGGGAGCTCTTACACAATATACAGAAACTGCTGACCTGCAAACCATATAAAGATTAGCCATATCACAATGCTGGAATTAATGGGACCCTTGCATCAAAAAGCTATCTTCCCTACTATCATGTTTCAGCACAATATACTTCAGGCTTTTCCCCCCATTCAAGTTTATATCATGCAGTATTATGCAAATCTACTCCTATTACTCAGGCAAAACCTTAAGTGACCTCATATGCTTTTATATCCATCATATCAAGAGATCAGTAAATCTGGCTATCACACATTCATGCATTTGGGATATTATTTTGCCTCAACGCTGTTGAGGTCATTGTTAAGATTTTGCAACTTTGACACTGAAGTTTATATTACTTCTGAGTAGTGGAGATGGAAATGAACACCTTATGGAGCATCAAATACATTGCCTACAACACTGTCAATCTGAAGGTAAAAAGGAATGCACAAGTCCTACCTCAAACTTTTTATGGCCACCCTTTTATGGTTTTAAGTAGATTGCGTGTGTCCTGCTGCAGCTCAACTGCCACCAAATGCAGTTTTGGTTTGCCAGTTTTCTAGGGTTTTTTATATAGCCTGGGTGTACTTTAGTACATAGCTCCCCTGATACGAGGAGAAAAACCCATAGCTTAGAGATCCTTGTCACAGGATTGACAGGAGTTTGTCCCTTTGGAGACCATTCCCTGGAGGGAAACTTGAAACGTGCTTTTCCACTAGATTGAACAAGTACTCACTAGTCAGCTACGGATCAGGAATTCTGGATTTCATTCCAGAGTCTGGGAGAGGAGTGTGGTTAAAGCAAGGAGACTCAAAACCTAATTTAGTCACACTGAAAGGTAGTGTGGTGGACTGCATAAGACAGGTTTGTCACACCAGAGACCTGGGTGTCAGGCCTGGAGTGACCTTGCATGAGCAATCTGCTCACTTATTTAAAAAAAGTGATCGAGAGAAGACTAAGTGTTCAGTAGCCCTTTCCTATCTTCTAGGCTGGGACTCAGGACTTTACTTTTACCTTAAAGACAACAGTGATCCAGTGAATTCCATAGCAATTTAAACAGCAGTTAAAAGAGGAAAGATTTGAATTGCTACTCTACTCCTTCCCAGATTTCCTTAGGCTACTGCCTTTCCCTTGGCTACAGGGCTATTTGTTAAGGGAGTATCTGTCCTTTTTCTTTTTTGCTCCTAGAAGTAAGTGACAGCAATCATTCTGCAGCAGATTTGTCATCTTGACCTTGACACACATTTTCTATTACGATTAAAATGTTATCAAATGCTGTACAGACACTACTGTAACTGATATCCTAGGAATCTGCACATGAACAACAATGTGGACAAAGAACAGAGTGTCTTAGATTTTTTTGTAAAAAGGGTACAAAGAAAAACAAATTAAACATTGTTTAAAAAAATACCAAAAGGATTGTTTTTCAAGCTCTTATTCTCTTCTGTCAATTCATTTTTCATCTAACACAATGAAAACTTCAAACAGTACTTAAAGTTTATATTCTGGGTTTTTTTTTTTGTCATTGCAATAAGATTTTTACAAAATAAAGGTTTAAAGCTTCTGTTGAACTGAACTCTCTCGTGTAATCTTAGCTACAGTGAAGCTAATGCTGCATCATACAGAGATGTGAAAGGTTAACCAGTTAACTGATAAGCATCACCCTATTAAACTTACTTCTGATAATGCTTACCAGTTCTAGTAAACCAGTGAGGGCTGGAATAGCTCCATCCCATGCGGCCTGCTGGAGCAGTCCCTATCCATGGCGGGCCGAGGCTCCCAGCAGACAGGAGCTGCTCCGATGTTTGGAGCAGCTTTTATCTGTGGCAGGCCCAGGCACCTATGGCAGGGATGCCGTTCCAGCCCCCTGTTGCCTGCCCCTCCTTTATCTGGTTAACCAATGCAGGTTAACCAGAAGAAGGAACAGACCAAACTGGCCCATTGCCTGAATTTACATATAAGTTACAGTGCAGAAGGCCCAGGTAGACTGATGAAGAGAAGAGACATCATATTCTAGTTGAAGGGGGGGGGAGGGGAATGCTCTCATTCCTGGGATAGATTTCTATACAAACTAAAAATAAACACAACACTCTCGAGCATAACTTACAGAGCTACGGCTTTCTTTACCAGCAAGCAGACCTTGAAAATGGACAAATATGTTGTAAAATAGAACAGCTCTACCCCAGCCAGCAGTGAGCAGCCCATCCCTTTTGACCTGCCGATCTTTCTTTTCTGAAAGATGAGCAGTTTACATACAATGATGAGTTAATTAACAAGACAGAGTAACTAAAGTTCACCTAGCAGCCCTGAAAATCTTAGCTTTGACTACACTCCACAGCTTTTTGCAACGTGGCTGTGTCTAGGAGAGATGTGTGGGGAGAAGGAGCAAAAAGGTCACGTGCCCCCCATGAAGAGGGGAAGAATCGTCCAGCAGGAAGAGCTCTGTTGGATAGTTTGAAGTTGGCCTTGTGCCGGCAGATGTGTCGAGCCTGTCCCCATACTGACCAGTGGAACGACCCGATCCCAGTCCACTCTGCTTCCCTGGCTTCCAGCCACATCACCCTGGGGAGGAAGCTTGGGGGAAAGGGTAGAACTACCCTTGCACTCACCAGCAGCAATAAGAAGAGTGACACAGCTGGAAGCGGAGAAAGTGGAGTATGTTGGGGTTGGACACGCCACTTCCCACCACTGCCAATGAGTGAGGGGGGAAGACCTGACCTCTGCTGCCAAGCACCAGGCACCCTGCTAGTCCCCCAAGCTGAGTTGCTTAGTGAGGGGACTTGGGGAAAGAGACAGGGAGGGAGGCGGAGCAGGGACAGGGACATGGGGGAAGGGATAGGGTAGGACAGAAAGAGGAATGGCTTGAGGCATAGTGCGGGTTGTGCCAAGGTCTGTGCCCTCCTAGGGACTAGGAGTGGCATGGAGAGGTTTCACATGGAGGGGCAGTCACATGGCAAGCGCCCCCCCCCCCATACTGTTCCCGAGCAGTCACCTAAGGCTGTGTCAATGTAGCCATGTCGCTAAAAGTCTTGGCAGCATGAACAAGTTTTGTTGGTGCACTTGTGGACAAAATACTTCTTCCCCGTTTGACTTTGACAAGGAGCCATTGATACTGCCACTTCCCATAGCAAAACTTTTGTCTTTTTTAATGACAAAAGTTTTGTCATTTAACGCTTTTCCTCAACTACACCGAGAAGGTGTAGCCTCTTTACATCACGAATTTCACCCTTGGAAACATTCAAGCCTTAGCTCAGATTTAGTTTAGAAACAAATATACAGGTCCCAGAAGGGAAGATAGCTTCCTAAACCTCTCATGTGTATCCTGAGTATAACCTTGCAGTATTTATAGGGCCTGTAATTTTTCACCAGCAATGACTGGAAAGAGATTTTTATCTGAAAAGGGTTCCTTTCCCCTACCTAAAAACACCTTCTTAAACACTGCCATAGTCAAGCACTGATGTCAGTTTTCACAGTAAGCAACAGTGTTCCCATTAAACAATCAAACCCCAGCAAAGAAAAGGGAAATTAATGGTACCCGTTTCTCCTCAGGAGGCAGCTTACTCCACTCATTGCCTAGCATCCTGGTGATCTCTGGAAAAGGGACTTCAGGCATCTTCGCTCGAAGCTGCTCCCTACGCTCATTCATGAATCGCACATACCCTGTAAGGGGGGATTTTGGGGCATTGCTGTCTCTAAGGGGTTTCTTCCGTTTTCTCCCTTTGGACCAGCCTCCTCGTTTAGTTCTTTGCTGCACAATAAAAAAAGAAGAAAATTCAGATTGAAAGGGTAAATAAAAAAATCACAAGAATAATTTTACTCCTGGAAGGAACTCTGCACCTATATTTCCCCCTGCCTATGGAGACCCACTGGCACCCTGCATCAACTCCCTTAGTTCAGCAATTTTTCTTGTAGTAGAAAGTTACACATGTTATCTACTATACTGTATATTAACTAATATTTCCTATTCTAATCTGTTGCATTTGAATATTATGTTTTCCAGTCCTCATGTATCATGGAATATTGTAAACAGGTACATACTATTGGGCTTTCTCTCCCATGCTCATTCAAGTTACTGCTATCATTTTAAATTACTTTGAACTTTTAAAAACTCCTTTCATCAGTAAATTGAAGAGCTTTATAGGAGCAGTCAAGTACTGGTTTACAGGTGGAGAAGCTACGAAGTAGGGCAGTTAAATCATTTGCTCGAGTTCTCCAAACTCCACGTTTCTGTAATAAAGTCTGGACAATGCTGTCTTATGCTAGACACTGCTATCGTCTCTCTCTTCTTTTAATCTCTCCTGAAATGGAAGTTTCCCCTCTCTGAAGCTTCTTATTACGTTGATTGCCTTTCTTTGGCATTTCACTGCTTCTGTTGTTTTTGAGATGGAGTGATCAAAACTGAACATAGATTTCAAGAGTGACATAGAATCTGGCTGTGTAAAAGCACTTTGAGATCAAACATTTGCTTCAGTTCTGTGCAACATCAACATCCATAAAGCTGTTACACAGCTCCAGTCTTAGCAGCAATAGCACCACTTATACCTTTCTAAATCAGGAAAAGAGCTTGGTATAAAACTCAAGTCTGGATCTCAGTTCCCTACTCAAACCATCAGATCCTACTATTTCCCCAAAGAAAGGAAAGGATGAAAAGGCAGCAAACCTTTGAAACAGTGAGCTCTGTTTGCTACACTAGGGAGTGTCACAGATGTCACTCTCAGAGGGCCTGCCTGCTGTATTTGTGACTATAGGAAAATAGGTTGTGACTATAGGTTGCACATCAAAGGAAAAATAGCTATAGAAAGAAGAGAGATGAAAAACAGCCTCCTGCATATGGTGGATGGCTAAAAACTGGTAATCCTATGAGAAAATACTTAAATTAATAAGGTGACAGATCCAGTTAGTCAGTTGTGTTAACTATATTATTTTAGCTCACCTCTTCCTCGAGTCTCTGCTCGCTGCTTTCAGCTGTATTAGAAGACTCATTTTGCAGCAACTGAACTTGTGACATGTCCTCCACAAAATCTGGGTTGTTCACAGACTGTGAAGCTCCTTCACCATATGATCCCTCAGAGTGGGCTAACCTGGAAAATCAAGTTGTGTGAAAAAGCACACGCATCATTAAAGTAATCTACTTCCCCTCTGGTCCTCTGAACTGTGCAACGATGTTGCAAATATTATGTAACTTTGAAGCCAGACAAAGATGAGACACTACAAAAACAACAACTCGGACAGCTGTATGTTCCATCTGTCCATCTGATTTCCAGAACACTGTCTACAGCAGTTACCAGGGATTTAGATAAAGCTCTTCTAGGTCCTGATTAAGGATGCTAAATATCATGTAATTGACTAATTGAATAGTCTATGCATTTTTTTAAGTACCTTGCTGCGGCTTTGCCCCCTCGCCCCACTTCCTGCTTCCATTTGATAGAGGCAGCAAACGGGGAGCAACTAGTCGACTATTCTGACACTATCTGATAAGTATTTGCTTATCGGATAGTCGACTAGTCCTTAACATCCCTAGTCCTGATGAAGACAAAACAGTCCTAAGAAAACTAACATTTGGAAGAACTTGTGCTTACACAAGTCAAGCACAAACAAAACAAAATCTGTTTCAAATAATAACCAAGTGGGTAGAAATATGAAGGGAGGTGCAGAGCTGCAGGACTGAAAACAGGAATCCTGCAACTGTGTTCAGGGGACCCCCAGCACAATAATAAAAACAGTATGAAATAGAGGGTCTTATCACTTTCACTTGTCTCCAAGTAATGCACCTTTCTGTATGCATTTCTTGTAGTCCTGTATAAGTGTTTTTGCCATTGGGCTCCATGAAATTTGGATGGAACTCTTTACAGTATTGTCTTCTGGTGACATACCTAGATATCTAAAGAAGACCCAAGTACCAATTTTCCTTCTAGGCCCTTTAATGTTGCTATTTTTTAGTCAAGAGCTGCTGCTGATGGCATTTCAGTCAATAGCAACATCCTGCAGGAGCCAGGCTGCCAGTAGTAGAAAGTGTGGTAGAGATGTACACTTCTACAACACTTTATCCTGAAATATACAATGGTTGGGCCAAAATTGTTGGTAACGACGCAACCCGGAATGAGACACACTTGACATTCAGATCTCAGGTTGAGATCAGAGCCAGCAGTTATTTTTTCTTATACACTATGCATACTGAGAGAGCACGAGCACCTACAGAACCCCAGTGATATTTTCAGTCACTTTTCAAATTTTAATCCACATGAGACATCACAATGGTCTAATCTACTAACAAATTACAGAATATTAGAACTGGAAGGGACCTTGAGAGGTTTCAAGTCCAGTCCCCTGCCCTCATGGCAGGACCAAACATGGTCTGTCTAACCTGCTCTTAAATATCTCCAGTGATGGATATGCCACAACCTCCCTAGGTAATTTATTCCAGCGTTTAACCACTTTGACAGTTAGGAAGTTTTTGCTAATGTCCAACCTAAACCTCTCTTGCTGCAGTTTAAGCCCATTGCTGCTTCTCCTATCATGAGAGGCCAAGGAGAACAATTCCCCCTCCTCCCTGTGACATACCTGAAAATGCCACTGTCCCCCCTCTTAGTCTTCTCTCTTCTAAACTAAACAAGCCCAATTCCTTCAGCAGTGCCTTGTAGCTCATTTTTCTAGACCTTTAATCATTTTTGTTGCTCTTCTCTGGATCTTCTCCAATTTCTCAACATCTTTCTTGAAATGCGGTACCCCGGAACTAGACACACTACTCCAATTCAGGCCTAATCAGCGCAGAGTAGAGTGGAAGAATGACTTCTTGTGTCTTGCATTAACAGGAGTGTTGTGAGCATCCCAGAATCATGTTTACTTTTTTTGTGACAGTGTCACACTGTTGACTCCTATTTAGCTTGTGGTCCACTATGACCCCTACATACCTTTCTGCAGTACTCCTTCCTAGACCACTTCCCATTCTGCATGTGTGAAACAGATTGTTACTTCTTAAGTGGAGTACTTTGCATTTGTCTTTATTAAACTTCTTCCTGTTTACCTCAGACCATTTCTCCACTTTGTTCAGATCTTTTTGAATTTTGACCCTATCCTTCAAAGCACTTGCAACCCCTCTCAGCTTAGTATCATCTGCAAATTTAATAAGTGTACTGTCTGTCAACATCTAAATCGCTGATGAAGATTCTGAACAGATCCAGTTCCAAAACAGAACCCTGCGAAACCCCACTTGTTATGCCCTTCCAGCATGCCTATGAACTGTTAATAACTACTCTCTGAGAACGGTTTTCCTGCCAATTATACACCTACCTTATAGTAGCCCCATCTAAGTTGTATTTGCCTAGTTTAGTGTTAAAAAAGTCATGAGACCCCCATATCAAATACCTTTCTAAAGTCTAGGTATACCACACCCACTGCTTCTCCCTTATCCACAAGACTTGTTATCCTATCAAAGAAAACTATCAGATTAGTCTGACATCCTATCAACTTATTTTCTTCCAGATGTTTGCAGATGAATTCCTTAATTACCTGCTCCATTATCTTTCCTGGGTTGTTCTTATTTTCCTTTTTATAGAGGGGGCACTATATTTGCTCTTTTCTAGTCTTCTGGAATCTCTCATGATCTCCATGATTTTTCAAAGATGAAAGCTAAAGGCTCAGTTACCTCCTCTATCAGCTCCTATTCTATGATGCATTTCATCAGGCCCTGGTAACTTACAGACATCTAACTTTTCGAAGTAATTTTTAACTTAGACATTTTTAATACAGAGAAGCTTTTAAAACTACATATGTAGGAAAAATTTTAAGCCTGGTGCATGAAATTTCAATGAAAAGTTATCAAATATAATTCCCTTAATCACTCCTAATCGCATGTCAAGATTCCTTTATTCACCACGCTTGGTGTCAGCAAATCCTGAGAACCAGAGATATGGGGCCAAGTTCAGACTGGACATAAGCAGGTGCCTCTTTGCTTAGTTATACAAGCAGGTGCAACTCTATGTAAGGTCTGAATTTGCCCTTTGCAGGTCTAAAGAACAAAAAATATACCAGTAAAGTACAGCCACATGTAAAAAAGAAATTCTCTATTTAGTAGTGCCACTGGAGAATAATAAAGGAAATAATCACCATATCTGCAGACTCACTCGAGAAGGCTGTCCTTGGAAGGCAAGATTTTACAAATAACAGAAGAATACATAAAGAGAAAGTTAACAGTGTTCAATTGGCCTACTTGCCAAAGTGTACAATCAGGAATATTTTCTCTGGAGAGTCTGCAAAGAGATAATATCTGTGTGGTGAATATAGAACAGCAGTTGCTTACCCAGTTGTAGCCATATCACTGCTCTCTTTTGAACCATCATCATCTGCAAATAATGGAGGCAGAGATGAGCCAGCCATCAGGTTCTCCATACCTCTAAGAAAAGGAAATGGAAGCAAAATTAATTCTCCCACATATCCTGCCCATTTAAAGATCTGTCTTTAAGTCTAACTTAACTGCCAGTTTTTAAAAGCAATACAGCACATGCACTCAGCAAAACTTTTTAATTATTTAGACCTATAGATTTGATTTTGTGATGTGTACCTACCAACTTATATTACTGAGTTATTTTGTGTTGGTCCCATCAATCAGGTATTTATAAGTAGAAGGAGGTGGTCAGGGAGAGCATAGGACTATTATTGAGTGGGGAAGGCAACCTAGGTTTTGTCTACCCTTAATTTAAAACGCAGTAGCGACAGTGCTTTAAATGGAAAGTGTGGCCACTGTCTGAGTATAACCACCCTTGGGAGGGGAGTAGCTAACAGTGCTGGGAACACAGCTCCTAGCTCTTTAGTCTGGTTCACACTGGTGTCTTACAGTGCTGTAACTTACTGCTCTTGGGGGGATAGGAAGGGGATTTTTTTCACCCCCTATGACTACCGAGGTTATTTCCACAATGATGACAAACCCCCAAACTCCCTACATCCAAGTGAGAGACTCAGATCCAGACTAATTGTCGAATGTAAACACTTTGGCTACCGTAGATCTTTTTAAAAAGGTATTTATGTAGTCCAGGACGACAAGAAAACGCCTAAAAAAGTCCCAGCTGTAAAGTATCTGACTTGGTAAGGCAGTATTATTTTAAAAAGATGAGCAGCAGAATGCAGGATTCGCTACTAAACAGATGTTTGAAGGAACAGTTACAATCTGTGAGGAGAAATCAGATTTTGAATGCTAAAAAGGCCATTTGCTGCACACTTATCGATGCTGCATCATAGCAACAAATCCTGCAACTTCTGCATCCTTGTGGTCCCTTCTAACCCTATTTTTTTTAAGTATTCAGTTAATTCTCTGATCAGCAGATCAATGTGAAGGCTAGGTGAAATCAATCTAATTTTTACCTAGAATGGAAATCATGCTTTCAACATTTCAATACAAAAAATGTGTTGTACATGCGTGTATGTATGGATTGAAGGTGGTAGGAGGAAAATAAAGGAGTCAATACCTTCTTTCTACTTTGCCTACTTCTGGAAATCCATTATACTGCGTCCTTTCTAATGATCTCAATATGGAATTGAAAATGAGGGACCCGTTTCTTTGGAATTTAACAAAAAATATAAAGTTTGGGTTCCTACCTAATATAAATTGTGATCTGTTATGGGAAAAGGCAAGTGCCTCTTATTGATATAAGAGAAAGAGGCTCAATCAGGAAGGCAGATATCCAATACTGGTTTCCTATACGATGGGAACTCTTTATCAAACACCATTCTCAAGTGTGTAAAGAGTGCAATAATGATCGGAAGTGTTCTAAAATAGGAGATATGTAGGATACACTGATGGAGTAGAGCAGCGTTTCTCAAAGTGGTCTGAGAAACCACTTTGAGAAACATGCTAACTGGCCACGCCAGTTTGTTTAGTTACTGACACCACAGCCACAGAGCCTTGCAGCTCCCATTGGCTCCAGTTTGCCTTTTGCAGCCAAGGAGAGCCACAGGATCGGGGTGTTCGGTATTTTTAGTTAAACCATCTGACAACCCTAGCTGCAGCACTGGTAAATAAACAAATTGGCACGGCCAGTTAATATGTTTCTCAAAGCGGTTTCGCAGACCACTTTAAGAAACCCTAAAGGAGAGTGAAGCATTTTGATCCTGAAGGAAATTAAGAGAGGGGCTGATATGATCTTCTAAATCAAGGTGGAATTCTTAAAAAAAGCACTGTGGGAAAGTGCAAAAAATAATTAACTTGGAGGCCTCATTGGTCAGATGACACTGTAATCCACATGTCTTGAGAGAATATATACTGTCTGCTAGTGAACAAGCCATCAAAGTGCTTTTCTGTCCATCATGCCCAACATGACTCCTCTTAATGGGTTCCTCTTTATATCTGGAGCAAGTCAGCAAAAACAATGCCTCAGCTTGCTTTCAAACTGCCAGTAAGCAACCAGACATCAAACTCAACAACATACAAGCACACCACAAACACAGGAAGCTGGGAAAACACACACTTCTTTCTTCTTTAAAGTTTGTGCTATTTCCTCCATATGGTTTTCATACTAATTCCTTCAGTCAGAGAACAGACAGGCCCCAAAAAAAGAAACGGTTGAAATACTAATTAATAAGCAACGGCTGCTGAAGTGTTCCAGTAGACAGGAAAACAATGCAATTCCTATCATGATGGCTGCAAATGGATGAGAATCTGTATATGATGGCAGATTAAGGGTGATTTGACAGCACTGGGGCTTCCAAGCCACTTCCTGTTATTGGTCCTTCAGTTGTGGTCTCTGTGCCTGAAAGCATTCCAACCCTCAGTCCCCATGTTATGGTCAGTAAGGCCCAGAGTGGCAAGACTCTTCAAAAACGCAGAACGCAATATTTTGGGAGGGAAGTTATTGCATCCAGTGGAACAATGCGGTGTCTCACTGACAAAGGGGAGGTTGTTTGGACTTTTCTCCCAACCTTCAACCTAGCAGTAATTGTGGGAGAAGAAAGGACTTGAATAGGCTAGTCACAGCTCTATCTAGCCTGTGACAATTCTTATACAGCTTTGCAAGTATGAATTCTGACCAAAGCATTTACAGAACTAAAGTGATACTGTTGTGTCTGAGATATAGACGCTGATTTAAAACAATACCATCAATTTCTTGGTTTTTTTTACAGCCTGCTTTTTGGTTAAAAACAATATAAAGGACTGTGACAGGGCGCACACACCCTGCACTGGGCAAGGAGTGGGTTAGCCCTGTTCTGAGGACTGAGAAAGCCGCACCCCCTTTGCCTTACTGGGCACGCTGGAGCTGCACAGATGTAAAAGGGAGGATCTCAGCTCAATTGGGAATGGCAAAAGGATGTGCATTGCCTGCTGCAGGCAAACTGCAGTGACCACCCAGACATTGAGGAACTACAGCACAGGCTAAAGGCCAGTCGCTTCCAGAGAACTCAGAGTATTCAAACGCAAAACAGGCATAGACAAATCCCAGACAAGGAAGGAGAGACAGAGATCTGCACTGGAGCTGAGGCGACTTTAGCAGGAAGCAGCCTAGGGGAACCAATGGCTACTTGGTGAGTGAGCTGATGCCAGGGAGTCAGTATGTTTCATTTGGAGCTTTTTGCCCCCAATTCAGTGTCTAGAGATACAGCCACTAACAGGGTACAGACCCTCCCATTCCACTGGAACCCTGCCCAGGACCCTCCTGCTGGGGGATGTAACTTCCTCCCCTATCTCCTGTCGCTTGAAAGGGGACTACACAACCCTGCGAAGTGGAAGAAACATATCAACTTTGGCCATCAAACCACACTGCCCTGTGAATAGGGGTGAGTTATGAACTACAGCCACCGGTCCACACTACCTTGTGGATGATGGCAAATTACTGACTTTTGTTACCAAGCCACTCTACCCTCCAGATAGGGGCAAGTTACCGACTCATGCTACTGAGCCACTCTGCCCTATCAATTGGGGCAAGTTATTGACTATAGCCATTGGGATGCACTACCCCATGAATGGGGAAAATTCACTGACTTTGGCCATTGGGCCACCCTATCCCATGGACTGGGTGGGGATTTGGCAGAAAGGCCACTCAGTGGTAGAACTGTGGGTGGAGCTATAGGCACGGATTGGGGAGAAAAAGCAGAGAATGACATGGCAGCAGCAGAAGGGAGCCAGGCACACTCTCTGGGCAGGGTTGTCCCAATCTGCATTACAAGGACATTCCAACAGTTAACTCCACAAGAGCCAACTTAAACTCAACTTCACTGCTTAATATTTTTGATTACCCTAGAGATATTTGTTTTAAATTCCAACAATGGCTAACACTGTTTCAGCTTCACCGAATTAGCAGCGTTCAGAGCCCCACTGGAGAGGTACTGCTGCCATTTAAGCACAATGTTGAATAGAAATGCTCTGCACTAGAGTAAATAACATGATGCTTAAAAAGCCACCTGCATATGAATGATAGGGCTCTCAACATCACCAGCACTGCTGAAACTCAGCCAGTTCAGACAGTGAGAATGTTTTGAAAAACAAATCCCCACTACATGCAAGAAATGCCATGGTGTCTCTTCCACTGACTTCTAGGATTACATTTGCATCCTTCATGGACAAGAAGAGTCCTACAGGTAGTACAGATGCTTCTCTTAATAGATGTATCAGTGGATCTCCTTTGGTACATTACCAGGGAATGGAGCAGAATGGGAGAGAAACAGAATTGTGCATGAGAGTAGTAAGGAGAGGGATGCTAAAGATGGGGAAGAGGAAAGTCCCCTTCACATTCAACAACACAAAAGAATAAATGCAGGATCTTTTTCCATGTGTGTCCATGCATGTTATTTGATGGGCTAATATGCATGTTTTTAAACTTCTTTGTATAAAATCCTAAGTTTCAATTCCTGGGTAACATAGTAGCCTTCCCTGAGCAATGTGAGAGTAGGATATAGAGTAACTTGTCAGCTATGGCTGGGATGGATGGACTCTGGATGGTGTCTCTAGCCACCTATCCATTGAGACGTATGATGGGTATCTGGAGGGAGCATAGACCAGTAATGGAGCCCTCACTTTCTCTCCCTGCCACAATTCCCTCTGTGCTGATGGGGCTGTCAACTTGTTCTTCCCAGCTGTTTTGGTCCAGCAGGAGCAGCCACAAGATAAGATTGTCTCTTAGCAAGTACAATTGTGGGCCATTCATTCAGCCCAATCAGATACCGGAAATCTCCACAGGAACGTACAAAAGAGATGCCAGTTGTATGAACCTCTGCAGCTGTAGTCACAAAGTCATGCCAACATTTCAGCCGCATTTTACTCCTCCAAGCTCTTTTTAACTTCCTTCTGTGTGTTTGATCTGGATTGACTACTAGTTAATCAGAAGCCAGTTAGTTACAATTTGCCGTATCTGTTCAGACACAGAGGGTTGAATGCCACCAACATCACAGCTAATGAGCTGCTTGTGC